AATAGGGCATCCACCCCAACAACCAAAAAAAAAAGATTTCTCGATCCGTATTTTTCTTTCGACACAAGGTCGCCACCTGTAAATACTGTCATAAGTGGAGTGATTCACACTATTCTAATTGTAAAAAAAACTATCTTGTAAAAAAAAACAAGTATCAGAAATAGATAAATCTATGTATAAAAGGATTCCAAAAAAAAACAAAAAGAAAAAGTAATAAATTCTATACTGTAAAAAAAGAAAATTAATTAGTATTAGAACTATTAGACAGACCCACCTGCTTGGAATCATAAGCAAAGGAAAGATCTAGACGGACCATTTCGATATGTTATGATGCAAAGAAAGATTCAAATTGATGTTTACATCACGTTTTAAAGAACACATTTCAAGACTTTTCATGTCATCTGATGTATAAGGATCAAAGGGGACTAAATTACCCCTAACATTGCAAACTATACGAGAATTACAATGATATTGGTTGTCAACAATTAAAATATTAGGGTGAGCTGCGACTAATCTATTCATTTCAGATTTAAGAATGTCTCTAGATTGACGTTTAGTCAGAGAATGAGAAGACTTTGCCCTGTTTTGGGACATGGTATGATGGAATTGATCAGTCCAATCAGTTAAGGAAGAAATCGTAGATGATGAAAAGGAAAAAATAATTCGAAAGCTTCGTGATGAGTTTAATGAAATGGAATCCAATAACTCAACACCGCACTCACCTGCAGTAGAGCCATCAAATATAACTATGCCTTCTTCGGATGCAGAATCATCATTGCGCTCACAGAAAGGATACCGTCAACGCCGTCAAACTAAAAGTAAAAAAGATAAATCACTTGCAGCCACTGATGAAGTCAGTAATTATTTAGCAATGCCGGTTGCATTGGAGGAGGAAAATCCACTAGATTGGTGGCGAATTCGTGCAAAAATTTTCCAAAATTATCACAAATTTCCCGCAAATATCTTGGAATTCCTGCGACTTCCGTGTCAAGTGAAAGACTATTCTCGCATGCTAGTAATCTAATTACAGTAAAAAGAACGCATTTGGATACAAATTTGGTAGGACAAATATTATTTTTAAAAAGAAATATTCGTTCAATGGAAGTTTTTGCAAAAGAATGGGATGGTGAAACTCAGGAAATTTTATTAGAATAAATTTTTCATTAAGTTTCATAATGTATTTTTTCTTGTTAGTCTAATAAAATATTTTACTATTTCTTTAATTCAATGAATTCAATTATATTATATATATTAACAATTTTATTATTTATTTGTTGAAAACTTGAAAACTTTATAAATAATAGGAGTAATTAATTAATAAATTCATTTATACGGATCATCCATTAAATTTCGGATTAGGATAAATCCGAATAGATCCGAAATAAAGGATGGATCCTTAAAATCGGATGGGATTAATCCGGATGGATCCTAAATAAAGGATAAATCCATTGATCTGGATTATCATCCGGATTGGCTGTAAAGATTCGGATTGAATCCAGATGACTCTTCAAAAATATGATCGGACCACTACCTGAAAACATACGAAAATGCGCAAGATTTGGAACATTTTCCAGACATTGATTTTTGTCCGAAATTTGTCCAGATTTGGAATTTGTCTGGAAAAAAAATTTTCTCTGAAATGATCGGCAAGTCATGATATCAATAATATATTCCTTTATACAAATACCTAACTGAGTAACTGGTAACTGTTTATAGTAGTTCAAATTAACATCATAGATAGTATTTTTGCTTGCTCTTTAAGTTTACTTAGTATACACACAGGTTTTAAATACCAGTTTTTTGCTTTTTACATTTTTTGATTTTTTATTGCCTGGAATTTTTTCTCATCTAACTACCAGAATTTGTCAAGTTGTCCAGAATTTGTCCAGTTTTGTCTATCTGAAATTGTCCTGAATTTTTCATATCTGAACAAATTCTGGACTTCAAAAAATTCTGGACACCATATTTTTTCATAATTCCGGACATTTTCCAGACATTTTGTAGGTATACTGGACAATTTCCAAACAGTTCTGGTGACAAATTCCAGACATTCTTTTTTCGTAAAGTTGTAGTGAAATCAAACCTAAAATAAAAGAACCAGAGGAACCAGTGAGTAAAGAAAGTAATGAGCATTATAGTTTTATCATTTTATAATCATTAAATTTTAACCCTTTATACAAAAGTGTAAGTTAAAAATTATTATATATACTGTTACGCGATAAAATGCACATCCGATGTTCGACGTTATTCGATGTTTATATGACGATCCGATATAATTTGTGTCCATGTCGATTTCTATCATTACATAATGATTTATGACCGCAGGTTGTGTACATTAAATTAGCCATATAGATAATATTCTTTATTTTATCAATTTTATTATTATTTTTATTATTAGTTTTACATATGTATAATCATATATTACAATATTGTTTATATTATTATTATATTATATTATTTTATTTATTGTCTATAATTGTATTTTTTAAAGATTATTGATGTATATTGATGTATAAGATCTATAATAAGAGTTAATGAAGGATAATTTGATTAATAATAATCAACTGATAGAATTTGTCATTCGTAACTTATCAAAAGGAGGGCTTATAATGGTTATTTTTATCACTATTATAGTAATTAGCCATATTACCATGAAACATATTCCGTTATGTGTTTATAACCTATTGGTAGATTAGATTTTGATATGATAATAGATGGTGTTGGAAAAAGAGATGGAGAATAGATATAAATACCTTTCACCAACTCGTTGATAAAAGTAGTCATTACCGAAGATTGTATTTTATCAGCTATAGTAAAAATCCTTTTCCTATCACTTTTATCATTTATTATCGCTTTGTTGTAAAACCCTTAATCCTATCACTTCATAATGTTATTAATAAAAACCGTTATACATCGTATCGTTAATTGTTGTTTCTGTGTGTTTTGATATATTATTCATTTATTACTCGACGTGTGTTATCATTATCGTATTTTGTAGGTATTTATCTTGACGATTTTTAACGAATAATACCTGATAAGTAGTATTGAGTAAGAATCCCGTTGATAACCTGGTGTTTATACGACTTATTTTAACCAACCATCGACCTTTACTTGCCGATATATTTCAGTAACAATACTATATATAAAAGTTAGATGGCCATCTTACACTTTATTTACTTTTTGATAAAATTTTAAATACTCACCATTGTTACAGTCCATTATTGATTGTATACTATAATAAAGATATTCATGCTAACAATATTAAGTATTATTTTAAACTATTTATGCTTAAAAATGATTTATGCATTTTTTATTTGTTACCTTAACTTTTTATTATATATTATTAATAAACTGGTTAAAATTAATGTAATAATTATATTTCACATTATAGTACTTAATGCTGCAATGTGGTCGCAACTAGGCCTTACTAATTACAACTCATAATTCACAACCACAACTCTAAGTCTTATATATAGTTGTAATTTTGCAACTATTTAAAAAACAGTTGAGATTCAACCTTAGCTGCAAGCATATACTTTGCTTATATTTTCCTAATTTTTTTATTTTGCAATATTTGTAGCATAAAAAATAAGAATAGTACTAATTAAATCTTTTTTTCGGCCATCTTTGAGGGTGTTAAGCAATTTTAATTAAAGCAACTTCTTTATTTAGACCATAGTTTTTGTGAAAACACATACTACTATGTCGTTGAGCACCAATGGTGTTTTAGTGAAGTTATTTCGATTAATTTATTATAATAAGTATAGTAATAATATTAAAACTAACATCTTAAAAGCAATAGATAATAACCATAACCATCATCCCAAATTAATCCAATTCAATTTCACTGAGTCTTTTAGTTTAAAATGTATTTGTACAAATTGTAAAAATTCTTATATTGTTATAGCTTTAATATTTCTATTTAATTTACTTAACAATTAACAAAATTGTTAATAAGGTAAAATATTAAAAATGGTTTGTAATATTTATATGTGTATACTGCTAATATCATACAAATATAGTTAAAAATGCAATGAGAAGTTAATTGCCATGTAAATATTATCCAATTCAAAATGGAAAACAAATATTTATTTGGTTATGGAATATGCTTGTTGTGAATCATTACATTCTATTTAAAAGAGAATTTTAATAAACTCAAATGGAATGATAAATATAAATTAGCACTTCAATTTGTAAATGCTGTAAAATGTTTGCATAATGAGGAAATTATTTATTGAGATTTAATAACATAATAGTTTACTGTATATTGATTTTTTTAATTCGATTACATTAAGCAATAAATAAAATATATATTTATTTTAGCATACATAAATGTACTTGTACATCAAAATTGGATAAAGTTAGCAAGCAGACTTTGATTTATCAAAAAAAATAAAAAAATAACTAATGCATTATATAATCCAGTAGACATCCTTGGTGTAATTCCTATATTGACCAAAATATTTGAATAATATTAAAAATAAGTCAACAATATAATTAAATACAATCAGCTATTGAAATAAGTATAAAAAATTTTACATTATTCATTTTTAATTTATGTATAAATGGGTTTATATACTTGTTATTTGACAATTTGTAGAAAAAAAAAGATTTATTTAAATTACAAACTAAGAAATTTGTAAAATATTTACTACTCTAGTCCTAGTGTTTAAATAATTCAAAGAGAGAATACATGTATTTAATATTTGGATAAAATATAAAAAAAAAAAGGAATTATTTAAATTACAAACTAAGAATCTTTTAAATATTTTACTACTCTAGCCTTAGTGTTTAAATAAACCTAAAAAGAATAAAGTGAAGAACAATTTTTGTTAAATGCATGATATCAAATATTACAAAAAAACTATATCTTTTTTAAAACACAAATAATTAGTTAATTTTCATTTTTTTAATATCTAAATAATAAATAAATAAAATTAATTAATTTGTAATTAATTTATTTTATATTACACTAGCTATATTATATACACTTTACATACCTAATTACTTGTATCTTCAATTATACAATCATCCAAATCTTCAGTTATACCAGTAGAAGAATGGGTTGCATAATAAGTTTGTGAATTTTTACTTTCAAGAATTTCATTCAATTGTTTACTAGTAAAATTAAGTAAGCGACTTGTATGGCAAGCTTGTGAGTGAGATTCAGTAGCAAGATTATTATGCCCAATTGGTGCATTTATAAATTCCATAATATTGCATTTTAATTCTTCGTTAATATCTTCAATTTTCTTGTCTTTAGGATATAAAACCCATTTTTCAATAGTTTCTAAAATTTTCCCAGAAGATGGCCTTTTTAATGGATCACCATCCCAACATTTTTTCATCAAATCTACATAGCATTGTGGAGTATTTTCAATAATTTCAGGACGTTCACCTCTACAAATACTTAAACTAAGTTGAATATCATGTGCTCTATCATTAAATGGTGGTACTCCAGATGTAAATTCCCACATAATCATAGAAAAACTGTATATATCGCTAGCTGGAGTATAAGGTTTGCCTCTTAAAACTTCAGGTGCCATAAATGGTATAACGCCACAAATTTTAGACTCTTCTAAAGATGATTTTATGGGTTGACATAATCCCAAATCACTAATATAAATTTTATCCTCATTATGATTTAGAATATTGCCATCATGAAAATCACAATGAATGAGATTTTGTTCATGTATAAAGCCAAGTCCATAAATAATTCCATACAGCATAAAAACTTTTTGATCCCAACCACTTTCAATTATTCTTGTTAAGTTACTTCTTAAATTACCTTTGTTTGCATAATCCATTACTACCAAATATTCCAAAGTATCTGGATTTTTTGTAAATCCATAAAAATGAATAATATCATTTGAATCTAAACAGCTTCCATGATATTTCCACTATAGAAAATAATAAACATATTAATATAAATAAATTATAATTTAAATTAAAAAAATAACATAACATCATACTTCATTTAAAAATTCAACTAAATTATCATTTAAATTCTTGTGACATTTAAGAATTACTTCTTTATTTCCATTATTATTTAACCAAATAGCTTTGTATATAATACCAAATCCTCCTTCATCAAGAAATTCAATATTATTAAATTTATTATAAGGAATCCATCTTAACTTTTTTTCAAGAATAATTTCATCTATGATTTCATTTCCACTTTTTCCAAATCTATAAATTTAAATAATTAAAATTATATTAAAGTTTATAATAAAATTTAAACTAATATTTAAGATTAAAATTAACACTTACTCTAAAATTTAAATAGGAATTTAAGATAATATATATCTTAGTTTTTGTATAAATATTTATAATAATAAGTTATATTTCACAACTTACCAACTAAAGTAATAGAAATTTTTAAATAAAAGAATAGTTAACAAATAAATATTATATAAAATATATAACAATAGAAATAACAAATAACTTACAAGCTATGTTATTTAAATAATTTTTTTAAATAAAGAATTTAGTTAGTTTAAATTATATGTAATTATTATAACAATGAGTAATAATAGAATTAAATAAATAACTTACGAGCTATATATATTATTTAAATAAAGAATTTAGTTAGTCTAAAATTATATGTAAACATTATAACAATAAGTAATAATAGAATTAAATAAATAACTTACGAGCTACATTATTTAAATAATTTGTTAAATAAAGAATTTAGTTAGTTTAGATATTATGTAAATATTATAACAATAAGTAATAATAGAATTAAACAAATAACTTACGAGCTATATTTTTTAAATAAAAAATTTAGTTAAATTATATAAATATTGTAAGTAATAATAGAATAAAATAAATAACCTATAACTTACGATCTATTAAATAAAGAATTTAGTTAATTTAAAATGTAAATATTATAACAATATGTAATAATAGAATTAAATAAATAACTTACTCTCTATATTATTTAAATAATTTTAAAGAAATTTATTAGTTTAAATTATATGTAAATATTATAACAATAAGTAATAATAGAATTAAATAAGTAACTTACTTTCTATATTATTTAAATAAAGAATTTAGTTAGTTTAAACTATATATAAATATTATAACAATAAGTAATAATAGAGCTAAATAAATAACTTACTTTCTATATTATTTAAGTAATTTTTTAAATAAGAATTTAATTAAGTTTAAATTATATGTAAATATTACTATGACAATAATAGAATTAAATAAATAACTTACTCTCTATATTATTTAGATAATTTTTTAAATAAAGAATTTAGTTAGTTTAAATTATTCGTAAATAATATAACAATGAGTAATAATATAATTAAGTAAATAACTTACCATCTATTAAATAAAGAATTTAGTTAAATTTAAATTATATGTAAATATTTATAACAATAAGTAATAATAAAATTAGATAAACAGCTTACCAACTAAAAGAAATTACAAAATAATTTTTTAAACAAAAAATTTAGTCAGTTTAAATTATATGTAAATATTATAACAATAAGTAATAATAATAGATTAAATAAATAACTTACCAGCTAAAAGAAATTACAAATTAAATAAAGAATTTAGTTAGTTTAAATTATATGTAAATATTATGACAATAAGTAATAATAGAATTAAATAAATAACTTACCCACTAAAAAAAAGTTACAAAATAATAAAGAATTTAGTTAGTTTAATTATATAAATATTACAACAATAAATAATAATAGAATTTAGTAAATAACTTACACTCTATATAAATAGTAATTTTTTCAATAAAGAATTTAATTAGTTTAAATTATATGTAAATATTATAACAATAATAGAATTAAATAAACAACTTATAACTTACTATCTATTAAAATAAAAAATTTAGCCAGTTTAAATTTTATATAAATATTACAACGATAAGTAATAATGGAATTAAAAATAACTTATAACTTACGACCTATTAAATAAGAAATTTAGTTAGTTTAAAATATTATAAAAATAAGTAATGATAGAATTAAATAAATAACTTACACCCTATATTATTTAAATAATTTTTTAAATAAAGAATTTAGTTAGTTACAATTATATGTAATTATAAGTAATAATATAATTAAATAAACAACTTACACCCTATATTATTTAGTTAATTTTTTAAATAAAGAATTTAGTCAGTTTAAATTATAAGTAAATATTATAACAATAAGTAATGATAGAATTAAGTAAATAACTTATAACTTACGATCTATTAAATAATTTAGTTAGTTTAAATTATATATGTAAATATTATAACCATAAGTAATAATAGAATCAAATAAATAACTTACACCCTGTATTATTTAAATAATTTTTATTTAGTTAGTTTAAATTATATGTAAATATTATAATAAATAATAATAGAATTAAGTAAATAACTTATAACTTACTAACTAAAAAAAATCACAAAATAATTTTTAAATAAAGAATTTAATTAGCTAAATTATATATAAATATTATAAAAACAAGTAGTAATAGAATTAAACAAATAACTTATAACTTACGGGCTATTAAATAAAAATTTAGTTAGTTTAAATTATATGTAATTATTACAACAATAAGTAATAATAGAATTAAGTAAATAACTTACACTCTATATTATTTAAATAATTTTGTAAATAAAGAATTTAGTTAGTTTAAATTACATGTAAGTATTATAACAATTAAGTAATAATAGAATTACATAAATAACTTACCCACTAAAGGAAATTACAAAATAATTTTTTAAATAAAGAATTTAGTTAATTTAAATTATATATAAATATTATAACAATTAGTAATAATAGAATTAAACAAATAACTTATAACTTACTAACTAATAGAATCACAAAATAATTTTCCAAATAAAGAATTTAATTAGTTTAAATTATATGTAAATATTATAAAAATAGTAAGTAATAATAGAATTAAATAAATGGCTTATAACTTACGATCTATTAAATAAAGAATTTAGTTAGTTTAAATTATGCGTAAATATTATAAAAATAAGTAATAATGGAAATAAATAAATGACTTATAACTTACGAGCTATAAATAAAGAATTTAGTTAAAATTATATGTAAATATTATAACAATATGTAATAATGGAATTAAATAAATAACTTATAACTTACGATCTATTAAATAAAAAATTTAGTTAGTTTAAATTATATGTAAATATTATAATAATAAGTAACAACTTACCCACTAAAAGAAATTACAAAATAATTTTTTTGAATAAAGAATTTAGTTAATATGAATTATATTTAAATATTACAACAATAAGTAATAGTAGAATTGAATAAATAACTTATAACTTACTAGCTAAAAGAAATTTTTTAAATAAGGAATTTAGTTAGTTTAAATATATGTAAATATTAGTATAACAATAAGTAATAATAGAATTAAATAATTAATTTACCTTCTATAAAATAATTTTTTAAATAAAGAATTTAGTTAGTTTAAATTATATGTAGATATTATAACAATAAGTAATAATAGTATTAAATAAATAACTTACTACCTATATTATTAAAATAATTTTTAAATAAAGAATTTAGTTAGTTTAAATTATATGTAAATATTATAACAATAAGTAATAATAGAATTAAATAAATAACTTACTCCCTATATTATTTAAATAATTTTTAAATAAAGAATTTAGTTGGTTTAAATTATATGCAAATCTTATAACAATAAATAATAGAATAAATAACTTACATCCTATATTATTTAAATAATTTTTAATTTAGTTAGTTTAAATTATATGTAAATATATGTCCATAAGTAATAATAGAATTAGTTAATTAATTTATAACTTACCATCTATTAAATAAAGAATTTAGTTAGTTTATTATAGCAATAAGTAATAATAGAATTAAATAAATAACTTACCCACTAAAAGAAATTGCAAAATAATTTTTAAATAAAGAATTGAGTTAGCTTAAATTACTATATAATATAGAAATATAGATATCATATAGCTTACACCCTGTAGTATTATCAATTATTAATTAGTTAGATATAAATATAATAGAAAAATACTATTTACTATAAATTAAAATATCACTTACAATCTATTTATTTAAATTAAAAATATAATTAGTTAAGTTATATTAAAATATTAATAAATAAATGTAATATTAAATACAATATTATTAAGTATTGTAACTTACTAGCTGTAGTATTAAAAAATTATTTAAACAAAGTATTTAGTTATTTGAATATAAATAAAGTAAAAAAACTAAAAATTTAAGTAACTGATAACTTACAATCTATGGTATTATTAATCATTAAATAAATTATTTAGTTACATAAGAATATAATAAAAATAATAATTAATTTCATTATCTGTTATTATTAATTTTATTTAATTATAAGATAACCTATTAACTTCTAATTTTATATTATATATTCTGCTATATAATTACCTTTGTCGATACATTGATCCATTACTATATCAAATTCTTCTTAATTGGGGAAGATAAAGAAATAACTTTTTTTCTTTTTTTTTATTATTTATATTAAACGCCCTATTAGTAAAGATAAATATGGTAATAATATTTATTCAAAATGCATTGTATACAAAATGTTGATCACAAATATTGCATGTATGACAAAACAAATTTTGCATGTCAATCATTGTTACGTAACAAAAATCACAAAATAGAGAAAATTTTCTTATTACATAATAAATATATAAATTTTTAAAAGTCATTAAGACTATGTTTAGCTACTTTGCAAATTTACTTAGAATGACAAAGAACAGCAAAGATAGTTTTAAATATCACTTTTATTTTTCATTAAAACCAACTTGAAAATGATCGGCATATACTTAATCTATAATAGTTAAATTAAAAAAATTTTATCATATTTAGATTACCCATATAAATAATTTGTATTGTGTAACATTGAAAGTGTGATATTCTTGCGCCCGATCTATTTCGTATTTATTAAATCATCATAATTAAGAAAATCTTCAAACTGATACATTTCCGGTTAATTAAAATTTTAACTGGAATTTTTTTTATTCTAATAAATTAATACTAACAAAAAAAAAGTATTTTAATTGCGGTTATTACCACTCTCTTAGTTACCACAACTAACCCTTTCTATTAGATAGACAATAATAATTTTTTTTTATTTTCGGATTTTACCGTAAAAAACTGAAACTACCTTTTTAGTCTTTTTTATTAATTTTTTTATCCCTTCGGTTACTAACTTTAACCAAAATTTTTTCTTATTCTTTTTTTTATTATATTTTTATTGGATTTTTTTTAATCGGAATTTATCAAAATTTTTGGAATTTTTTTTAACCCAAAAGAATATTACTATTCTTTTTTAGTTTAGATCGGATCAAACTATAATCAAATTAGAACTATGTCCTACAAATTTTTTGATGTTGATGAGATTTTTTTGTCAATGATATTGCTTCTGAGTTCTGACTAATAAATTCGTGTAAAAATTTTTTTTTTAATATCAACAATTTTTTTTTAGTTAGTTTGTTTTTAATTATATAGATACATAACAATATTAATAATTTTGTAATGAGAACTTTTTTTGTTTATTGAGATTAATTTTTCAATATTATTTCCTGACTAATAAATTCACATAAAAATATTTTTTTTGATGAGATTGTTTTTAATTATATGGATACATAACAATATTTACCTGCATATTGTTTTATTAAAATTAATTTATATTTTATTACTCTCATAATCTAATTATTAATCAAAGTGAGCTTCTAATTGTGACTAAAAATTTAATATTATATAGTAATACTACTACTCCCGGTGCGAAGCAACAGGAAACTGCTAGTATCAAAATAAAAAAAAAAATTAACTAGTGTACTTTTGGATACAGTGAGTGGGCTTATTTTTAAAAGTATGTTTTATTTTTTGTTAAATTTATTAAAATTATTGAAAAATAGTATTTATACAAATAGATACACAGAGTTAAAATTTTGCTTTATCCACTTTTATTGCATCTTGATCAAGGAGCGAATTTCTAAATTTTGCCAAGAAGTGGCAATTTTTTTTTTTTTTTTTTTAAAAAAAAAAATAATAATTAAGTCTAACAGTATTAATGGTAAATTAAAATATTTGTTTGATATTTTAAACCATGTTTTGAGGTTTACACACAACAACCAAAGTTCACCAAACCTATTTAGAACTTTTACTCAGCTAAATAATAGACTGTTTGCTCAAACTCTAAAAATGTAAACTTGTATTTGATTACGCAATGCTATTATCAAATACTCAACTGATGTAGAAACAATTTATTAGAGAAAAATAGAAGACAACGTCAACTACGCTTGCAGAGTGAATTTACTGGAAAGTTGTGTAATGTAAAAAAATCTTTTATTTGAATTTATAATTTTTCAAGGAAAATAAATTTAGCTATCTTAAATCTGTGTAATCTGTGTAATAGATATTGGAATGAAAGAAATACAATTTTCTATAAAAATTATTAAAATAAAAATGTTTTAAGATTTCAAGTACCATTTAGGTAATTTACATTATTTATTTAATGTTTATAATTTCTCATATATTATAAATAATTTTAAATTATTTTTGTAGTTATTAATCAAGAAAAAAAGAGAAAGGAGTTATTTGATGAAACAAATTTATAAGGTGCTAGTATACTGGTATAGAATATAAAGATATGATATAACGCATGTATATTTTCGCTACGTTAATCATATCGGTTAATAGAAGAAGTTCTTCCTAAATTTTGGAGTAATGTCGTAAAGTATGTGGGACAATGGGTTGGACACAGTCTCATATAAAAAAATTAGGGTAGAAAAGTTTATTATGGTACTTTTTAATAATTATGAATGATTTTTAAATTGACTAGATCATGTTATATTTACAATTTTGGCTAATGAATGAAAAATAATTAAGACCCAATTTCTCCAGTCGGTGAGTTAAGTAGAAGTTGAGATACATTGAATAGACTATTAATTAGATTAAACAATTTTATTATTATTATTATTATCTTTTTTTTTTTCATTAAATATTGGTGAAAATTCTTATATTCGAATTTACAATTTAAAGCTCGTTGTTAATAATATCAGCTAAATAATGAAGTTAATTATGACAACAACCATCGAACTTACCCGTTAATACTTTACGTGCCTGTAGAGTTACACAAAATTTCCTTTCGTATTAAAATAATCCATTTTCATGTACTAGTGATAAAATGAATACTATAATACTTACCCATTAATAGTAAATAATTATTAATTGCATGATATGAAATTGTTTCGTTGCCATGCTTCATTCTCTAACGGCACAATCTGGCATATCAGTGTCTTTCAATTTAATAAAATAGAAAGGATAATCATTCAACGTGATGCATGATAATTTCGGTGATCAAAGATGGATTGAATGAATAAAAGTTTAAAGTTTAATGTAAATGGTATTATTGAAAGAAATTATAGAAATTATAATACAACAATTTTAATTGGAACAAAACTTTTACTTTTTGTTGTTCCATAAAATATGGAGTAAATTGTTATTACACGTACAGTAATTTGTTACGTCATTAGCAAGAAAAAAGTAGAGCGTATCATAGTCGTTTAAGTAACCAATTAAAATGATTATTTTTCATAAAAAAAAAAAAAATGTTTCTAATTAAACTTACTAATATTTTATTTGTTAAAAAAAGTTAATTAATCAGATTTAAAGAGTTGCGAATATAAATTATTACCAATAGATTATTATGTGGTCTTAATATAAACATTGGAGTGTGATTGTCGTAAGATAGATTTTTAAGTTAAGTAGTACTGAAGAATTGATGTTTTCTATTGACAAATATTCCCGCAACCTATTTCCTATTTTCTACAATACGGATAGTGACGAATATATTTGATATGATTACACAGTACTTCTAAATGTATGTAGGCATTTTTATAAATTGAGTTCAATATTTTATAAATATTTTTTTTTCGTTTTTTCTTCTCATGGGACAAATTTTTTGATGAAGACAAATTTTTTATTACGATGATCGTCCGGTGCTTTATCAATTTACTATTAAGGCCCGTACAACAATAAATTTGCCACCTTAGGACTTAACAAAGTAATACTTTATTAATAATATAAAATAATATAAATAAATACAATATATGCTTGGTTTAACAATACTAATAAATAAAATAATATCCCAATATTCAATTAAATCTCCAAATTCGTATCCTTAAAGTAAATATTCAAACAATTTTCCAAAATTCATAACCTAAATTCATAACCTCAGCTTATAACCTCAGTTTATAATCTCAGTTTATAATCTCAAAATTTGTAACTTAAATTTTGTAATTTCTAAATTTCGTAATTTGAAAATTCGTAACCCGAAATTTTATCAAGTCAAATTTAATCCCTTTTTGTATCTTTTCATATCTCAATAGTTCCCGTTCAATAATTTCAAGTTATACGTTATTTTTTGGATCTTATTCAATATGTCGATCATTGATCTTCACCTATAAACAAATCCGTAGGACGCATTTGTAACGTCATACAATTTTAAATACTAAAATTTATACACTAATTCTAAATATAATACTACGCCTCATAATTAATAAATTTACTAGGTATATTACGGCATTAAGCTACGTTCAAAAACTATCTTCAGTCCGGATGATCGACATCCTGGATTTTTGATTTATAATGCATTTCGAGAAATTTAACTATGAAATGTAAATAATTCACTTAATATCATAATAAAATTAATGAGCGTAATATGATTAACACATGATTATGATAATCTCTTGCAATAATTTAAATTAAATTGTCAGAAATAAAAATTATTTACAGTATTCACAGTATTCAAAAATAATCGGCAAAAAAAAATTCTTACTTACTGCAGATCATTTCCTTATTTAAATACCTGATACATCATGGAATTCTGAGGAGGAATTCTTTACGGAGATATTTTTCCGAAATTCTATTATAAATATCTTCATAATTTTTAATTTTTCAAAATTTTCTTCCTTCATTATTCAATAAAATAAACTATATCATGGAACTTATAAGTACTAACGATAAAAACTCTTTCAATCGTACACCAAGATTAAAATCCAGTCCTGTGCCAATTTTGTTCATTCCTTTCGATAACGATACGTTTGTTTGTGCTTACTGTAAAAGTTTTTATTCTCAGACACTATTTTGTCAAAGATTTTGTGAAAATTGCTTATTTGATTATGCTAAGAAACTGACTGACAACAATATATATTTGGATGTCATAAGAAATAAAGTTCAAGATACACAAACTATTCAAGAATGGTGCAATGGTTATTCTAATATTTTATGTTTTAAGCAAATAATTACAAAAGACATAATATTATTTGATCACTTTAATTTTCTTGAAAATAATGAAATGAATAAAAATAAATGGAATATAGTTAAAGAAACTAAATGTAAATTATGTGAATATAAGAAAGATTACAATAATTTATTTGATTTATGTCCAAATTGCTATTTTACTTCTTCTGAATGGATAGAATCAACTTTGGACAAAAAACTTATTCCAATTGTTTATTTACCTTGGTGGGATAATTCAAGTATTTGTACTTTGGCTTGTAAAATGAATTTAGAATATAAATCTGACTGTCAAAAATGGTGTTCACATTGTTATGTAATTTACACAGGGTGTAGATATTGTTTGACAACAAATATTATTTTTGGAATTACAAAACAATCTAAATGTAGAAAATGTAAAAGAGTTATTAATATCAACGTTACATGCATTGAGTATAATTTAGACAATTTTGATATTATTAAAATGAATAATCTTGTTAATCGGATGAATAATATTAAACAAGAATCAGATTTGGTGAATACAGTATATAGGTATATGTCTAATATCAAATTATCCAAACAATACCAAAATCCGGATAATCGTTCTTATCCTATTAAAGAAAATGGACAAATTCGATTTATTTCCTTTAGTAATAATATGGATAGGTGTAACTATTGTGGACTTAATTATTCTTTAACAATCTTATTTGAACAAAAATATTGCAAATATTGTTTGTATTGGTATCACAAGGACTTAAGTGACAAAAATGTATGTTTAGATGTGCATATAAATAATTCTAGTAATTCTCATTGTATTAAACATGAATCAAAAAATATTGAATCATATACACAAAATATTCAAGAATGGTGTATGAACTGTTCTGAGATTTTATATTTTAAGCAAATAGTTACAAAATATTCATTTGATATGAATTATTATTATGAAAGACAAAATGAAATAATTAAATATGTAAAGGATTGTACACTATGTGGTCGGCAAAATTTATCAATCAATACTGAGTTTAGTTTGTGTTCAAAATGTTATTTAATCTCTTTTGAATGGATAGAATCTACTTTAACTGAAAAAGTTATTTTAATTCTTTATTTATCATTGTGGTATAATATTGAGCAGTGTATTGTTTGTAAACATATCTTAAATGATATACCCTCTGAGGCATCAGATGATTGTCAAAAATGGTGTTCAAATTGTTTTACAATTTATATTGGATGTAGATATTGCTTAACAACGAATATTGTTTTTGGATTTACAAATCAATCTAAATGTAAAAAATGTAAAAGAAGATCATTTATAACTATTGATACTAAAAATATTATGGAAAATTTTATTGTTTCTACAAAAATGAATGCTGTTAATCACGATCGGATTGTTAAATATGTTAATGATAAAAATTCTAACTTATTAAAATTATATGGATTTATAAGTAAGCTTAATTATATTGACCTAAAATATATTTCCCATTCAAATTTAGAAAGTAAAGAAAATTTTTCTATTCCAATCATATTCATTCCTTTTAATAATAATGAGAATATATGTCATCAATGTAGAAATGAATATTCATTAACACTTCTGTTTAAACAAAAATATTGCAAATATTGCTTACATTGGTACATTAAGTTTGCAAAGTTTACAACTCAAAATACGGTAGATGTACATATATTCACAAGTAATACTCAATGTACTGAACATGATAAACTGAGAAATTTGGGGGTTTGTACAAAAAATATACAAGAATGGTGCATTATTTGTTCTGAAATTTCATACTTTAAACAGATTATTACACATCATTCATTTGATATAAATGAACAAAGTAAGGTAATTCAAAGTGAAAGTTGTAAGTGTGGAAAATTAATTAATCACCAAATTTCTTTCATGTGTTTGGATTGCTATTCAGTTTCTTCTGGATATACAGAATCAACCTTAACCAAAAAAAATATTCCAATACTTTATTTACCTTGGTGGGATACTTTTAGTGATTGTATAGTTTGTAGGCAGAAGTTAAAATATAAATCTGACAGTCAAAAATGGTGTTCACATTGCTTTATAATTTATAATGGATGTAGATATTGTTTAACAACAAATATTATTTTTGGATTTACAAACCAATCTCAATGTATAAAATGCAAAAAAGTGAAACCTATTAGTATCAATGGAAATCATAATATAGATGAAATTCTTAATTCTACTATTGATACTAATGATGAAATTTCTAAATTTATGAATAATACTTATAAAGACAATGACCCATTAAAAATATATGATTTTATTAAAAATAGAATTGAGACGAGTCGGAAAAATATAAAAGTGATTGAATATTCCAAAACTAAAGATTTTAAAAGAATTGCAGAGGGAGGATTTGGTATAATTTATAAAGCAGTTTGGAAAATAAATTCATCACCTAATGGAAAAATTGTTGCTGTAAAAAAATTTTTGAAATCACAGAATATCAGTAAATATTTTATTAATGAGGTAAATATATAAAAAGTTAATCTTTTATTTCTATTATTTAATAAATTAACCAATAACTACCTTATAATTTATGTTAGTTAAAATCATTTATTCAATATCATAATAGATTTGAACATATTATTAAATATTATGGTATTACACAAGATCCTAATACAAAAGATCATATGATAATAATGCAATATGCAGATGGAGGAGATTTGCATAATTATTTACAAAACAATTTTAAAAATATTACATGGAAAGATAAATTAACTATTTTACTGGAAATTTCAAGGGGGTGATTATTATATTTATTTAATTTGTGCTCGTCAATTAATATTAGGTTGGCTAACTATCAAAGTTGTTTACTTTATTTTTAGAGTTGATTGCATTCATAAAGAGAATTTTATACATAGAGATTTACATAGTGGAAATATATTATTAGTTGATGAAAAATGGCACATTGGAGATTTAGGATTATCACAGCCTGCAAATGTTACTTCATCAAATAATGAAATATATGGAGTAATACCTTATATCGCTCCAGAAATATTTGATGGTAACAAATTTTCAAAAGAATCAGATATTTATAGTTTTGGTATAATTATGTGGGAATTAACGATAGGTTGTAAACCTTTTGCTGATTTTGACCATGACATTGATCTTATTTATAAAATTATTGATGGAAAACGACCTGAAATCACAGATGATACTCCTAAATGTTTTAGTAATTTAATGAAAAAATGTTGGGATTCTGATCCTTTAAAAAGACCTCGTATAGAAGAAATTCGTAAAACCATTGCTTTATGGAGATGTGCAATAAAAAATATTTTACATTCACATATTAATCAAGCTGTAAATATGGAAGATGATGAATTTAATCAAGCTGAAAAAATACGATTGGGATTAATAAAGATAAACAAACTTGATCCTAGATTTGCCGTAAACTCTCATCCTGGAGCTATTTATACTAGCAGATTATTAAATCCTTTAATCTCTGACTCAGAGTCATTATCTATTAGTTTATCATCATCAACTTTTAATAAGAAACAAGGTATTAATTTTTTTATCTTATTTATAATACTTAACGTTATAATTATTTTTAAGCATTAATAATATACAAAATTTATCCTACATTTTCTATATTTTAGAGTATATTTCAAAAGATCTTGAGTTTGATATTAACAATGTTAAACGGTATTAATATGTAATTACAAAATAATTAAAACAGACATTAATGCAATTAATAATTTAAAAATATTTATATTTAGGTCATCTTTATCAGAATTAAATTCTACTACTCAGAATTCAGTGAATAATATTCAATGCCCAAATGCGATTTATACTAGTAGACCATTAAATGAAATGTTTCCAATAAAACAAGGTATGTGTTAAATTGTACAAAACATAATTTAAGAATTCAATTGAAACTTATTGTTATATATTTCTTATTTCTTATATTTCTTAGAGTATAGTTCAAGAGAAATTGAACTTGATATTAATTACGCTCAATGGTATTAATTTGAATTATAAATAGGAATAATTAAGTTAGATATTAATGTAGCTAATATGATAGTGATTAATTTAATAATAGGTCACCTTTACCAGACATAAATTCTACAGTCCAAAATTCATTGTGTAAAGTTGCAGAGATAAAAACTGAAATACAAAATAATGGTGAGTTACTTTTTTTAGTATATCTGATGTTATCACATTAATACTTAATTATTATATATAGTATTAATTTTGAAATTTTTTTTAAAAAATAGAAAAGCTTGTTTTGCAAGATGATTTAGTAGGAACAGATTTACAATTGAAATCACAGGATCAAATTATATGTAGCGATGGATCGCCTAGAACGTGAAGAACTCATACGACTTCAATTAACAACGCTAATTGGTATTTTGATTGGAAGGATAGTCGAATGGGTTCAACGACTTACAATAAGGATCCGGTTAAAGAGTTTGATAAATTGAATAAGGAATTTAGTGATAGAATTAAGGAAATTAGTGGTAATACAGAAGGATTTAAAGGCAAAGGTAAAGAAGGTGAAACAGGTAATGATACTTTGAACGCTAATAAAAAACGTAGTGCGCAATCTCAGGGTGCTAGGGAATTTAGTGATACTGATGGTGATAAAGAGTAAATGTATTCAATAGAGTAGTCTTTTGTACTGTAATTAGGTTTTATTTTTGGTATAGCCAATAATTATGTATTAGATAGATACTTTATTGATATGATGTATTTATTATATATTAACATCTATATTGGGATTAGTTACGTTTGTAATTATCTCAATACTAATAAAGGACAAAAAAAAGAAAAGAAAAGCTTGTTTAGAATCCTAAGATTTTGTGAATTATTTATATACTTTTATATATTTTTTATATTTTTTGGAATTATAAACCTATTTTTTTTTATTAAAATGTATAATAAACTTGTTCTGATTTGATTGTTGACAAAATAAGCCATCAATATATAAATATGTTTATATATTTTTATATATTTTTGGAATTATATAAACCCATTTTTTTTCTTAAAAAAAAAGTGTATTATTTATCTTTAATAAACTTGTTTTGACAAAATAAGGCTATCGCTATGTGCATAATTATTATTTCTATCTTATTCTTTTCTTCTTATTGATATAAATCACGGCTTTTACATATGATTTCATGAACTTATTATGCCCAAAATTTAAAACGTTACTTTACCACTAAATTGTAAACTGATAAACCTAATCACGTATAAATTAAAAATTGGTTTTAATTGATTTAGTAAATCGAACCGGAAGTAAAATGGTATTATTATCATTTTTCACATATACTATATACAATTAAGATTTAATATAAATAATTCACTTAAGATCGGAACCGACCAAAAATAAACTTTAACAGGTTGGCTAAAAACCGACTAACCAAGAACCTTTAGTCGATTAAAATTAAAATTTTTTTGGATGCAAATTGTACCAATTTGTTTTTATTCATATATTTAATTGTAAGTGAGATATCATATCGAACTTATTACTAAAAAGTTAATAAAATTCTTAAGTCTGGAGAACATGACACGACATTTCACATCTCTGCCGGGACCTTATTAGATAATTTGACATAGTTGATTTTCCGATTTTTGAGATACCTTAACCAGTCCCGTCACAAATTATGTAAATTGATTTCCCTCATTCGAATTTCATTTCGGTATTTACGTCCGACATAGGACAGCACGTGAAATAATTTCAATGATATTTTAAAATCACTTTCTAATTTAATGTTTTTTTTAAAACATATTGAAAGAAATGATGATAAGGAAAGTTTTTTATTCTTTATAAACAAAATCAAGTCATTAAGAAATATAAAAAAAAAATTCAACTATTAAAGAATATTTTCGAGAACATGGTAAAAAAAATATTTTTTTTTTTTTTAATTTAAGATATCATTCATATGAAACATACTTAATTTACTTTTTCACATTGCAACGTTGCAAATTTTTTAAGACTTGAAATTACTTAATTAATATTTTCACCATACAAAAACTCTCCAATGCGTTTGATGGTATTATCATAAGCACCATTTCTACTTAATAGTTTTTCCACAGCGTAAGCATGAATATTGGCATCTTCTATTGTCAATTCTGCTTTTACGTTATTTGACAATAGTTTTTCAATAAATAATTTAACGTCGTCTAAAAAGACTTCATAACTTCCTACACAAGCCCATACTTTCGGTAAGCCTGAAAGTTTATTTTCGAATATAGGAGAAATCATTGGACAAGTTGGAGGAAGATTTGAGTCGCCTAGATACAATTCTAGACAATGGTGGAACCAAGTAATATTTATGCAATCAAATGAATCATTGCTGATAAACGATTGGGCACTTGTTAATCCCTGAAAAAATCGAAAAGTGTTGTATTAGATCTTTTGTACTTATAATTAAAACAGATCACGTAAAGTTATTAAATAAATTTTTAATAAAATATTGAATTGGAATAAGAAAAATAATAATTTAGATAATTCACTCACGTTTACGCAAGGAGATATTAAAAGAAGAGCGGCTGGAGGAACTACGTGTAATTGATTGACAAGATGTATAGCACTAGTTACAACCAAATTTCCACCCGCACTATCACCAGCTAAAAAAATTTTACTTTTGAATATAATCGTTTTAAATGTTTTAAATATAATATCAGTTTTGAATAAATTATAAAATCACGTACCAAAAGTAATTTTAGATGGGCTAATTTTCTTTTCATTAACAAGCCATTGATAGCACGCCACCAAATTTTCTCTAGAAGCTGGGAATGAATACTCAGGAGCTAATCCTATAAAATTAAATTTTAAAATATTCATTATAACCGTACGCTAATAAAACAACTATATTTAAAATATTTAATTAGCTTACTGTATTCTAGAGACAAGATTTGTGTTCTAGCACCATAACTTAATTTCCATGCTTTAATCCAATCGATGAACGTAGATAAGAATATTAAAGCGTTACCGCAAACGTATCCTCCACCTATTATATTGAAACAAAAGTGTAGCAACAAATCAAATAGTTTTAACCAAAACTTTCCTTTCTACTTACCATGAGCGTATAAAATAATCATATCAACATCCTTTCCTATTTCTGAATGTTCAACATCATCAGCAATTAAATATCCTTCCCATCCGTTTTTTTCATTACTTGCATCCAATTTCTTTACCCAATGCTTTTTTTGTTCATGAGAGATTATTTTCAATGTTCCACATGAGTTATATAATTTTCTTATCAGCCATAGGGGTAAATATAATTGAAAAGTTTTGAAGATGGTCGCTGATATACGTTGAAATAAATTTGGTGATTTATGTCCTTTTTTAAAGAAGTAAAACGTAAAATATGCAAGAATGACTAGCGGAATTTTAAATGCTATATATACGCGAATAGAAAATAAAGTTAAAACCTAAGTTAAATATAATGTAAATAGTGAATTTCTTTCCAATATTTTATACTTTACCTAGGATTAAAGCACAACTAAGTACGGATAAAATGAGATCCATTGTACCGTAGAGAAAAAATCAATAATTTGTTCGTATTTTATATATATATGAAAAAAATTTTGTAAAAAAAAAAAAAAAAAAAAAAAAAAATTATTAGTAATAGAGATATAGAAAATCTATTTTTTTTTTTTTTAATTCGACTACACAATTCGAAAATCGATTTACATATACAAGTATATTATGTAGATCAATTTCCACGTAATATCGAAACAAATTCCCTTGCAAAAATTATTAATTACAAAATTTTTAATATAGGTTATGAAGATTAAATTTTTTGATTTATAATATTCTGATATAATATTGTATTCTGATGGTTTCTAGAAGTACAACAAGGAGTTTGAATTTAATATACTTCATTTTCATAAACGCTAATTGGTTTTTAAAATTAAATGTACTTAATAACAATAAATTCATGTAATAAATAACAAGTCAATTAGGGAATAGTTTATTTGTAAAAATATATATGTGACAATTGCGAAATATTCTCTCATAATGATATTCTCATAAAATTTACATAAAGGTTGTCCAGAAAATTAATATATTACTAAAAGAATTAAGATTTATTTTATCATAAAGGGCCCATAGTACTTATGATAATATCAAAAAAGAATATGACGACTAAAATAATTGTCTCATAAACCCATTTTTTTTAAAAAAAAAATTATTTAAAAACGCACATAAAGAGGCCGCAAGCGTAATATCGTAGATCTTTTCTATTTGGATTTTCACATTGAAAATTTATTACCTTATTTAGATACTGACCAACATTTATCATAATTCCGGCCCTGAAAATACGTACAGCTAATAGTTGAATTTTTTTTTTTGTCAGATTTATATACAGTTATTTATGGGTCTTGTACCAGTAATTGGCACGAGACATCTACTGTATTATTACAGTTAATCATTGGTTCGTTATTTATCATCAGAATTTTCAAACCTGTCTTATTGCGCCACAAAATGGTTTCTTTCTAATAATCCTAACGGTGGCAAAGTTTTCTGAAATAACTTGTTTTGGTTGAATTTTTCTAATTTTGGCATATTTGTAGGCTTAGAAAAGCTTAGACAGGCTTTTAATAATATAGTTCCGACAGGTTCATCTAAAATTTCATAGGGCTTAGGGGAGATTAAGATAATCTACATCTTAAATCATCATGAAACCCTAGTAATATAAATATACTGAACAGACCCATTAATAGTAAACTCAAAATAAATACTTTCAAATATCGAGATGCTTGATAAGATTTCGTTGTATTAAGATTTATAATCACTAATTTCATCTATTTACATGAAGCTTTACTGGCTAAATATCAGGAGGATAATAACACTTATCATTATATATACACCATTATCAAACATACATCATTATGGAACAAGAAATATACACCCATATATTTTCTAGTAGGCCCTTACTCACTATTGAAACACAAATTATTTCAAATAGTTTAGCATCAAGTTCACTATGAACCTTCAACACATATTATTCCAAAATGGGAGTACAATGTTGTAGAGCTGAATTCATTATGATCATTTATATATCAACTTATTTAAAGTTGCAGCAAATTCCAGTTTTCATATTTTCTTGGACAGCTTATTGGGAAAAAGACATTGCAAAAAAGGAGATAAAACATATTATCTCAGAACATTTCTATATTATGGTCATTTGTGCTTATTATATTTTTGAAATAGGCCCAGTCCGAATCTATCAAACACAATGAACTACTTTTAATTTTATTATGAAATTGAAGATCATTGCATTAAAGGGACTTATATATATTTATATATACAATGAATTTAACATTTTGTATGGATTAATCTACACAATGAATTTATTAATCTATCAAAAGTACATATGTATGCTTGCAACATCAGTGCCTTTATTTAGAGGATATTAGTCCAGAATCTTGAAATAAAGATTAACAGACTAAAGAATACACCTAATGAAGTCATTGATTTAATATTCAATAAACTAACTAAAATATATTGAAATTTAAATCAACTTTTAAGTTATTATGGAAAAACTGATAAACTGATATTTAATAGAGTATACTGTATTTAATCTAAGTTATTCTGAGTTTTCATCCATAAAAATGATATGTATTCAAGTTAAATTGTAATCATCCTACAACATTGAGATTTTTTTATTTATTTAAATTTTCTTATTTATATTATTTCTTTCAATTTAAAAATGTAAAAACATTTGAACATATCCAAAAATTTTTCAAAAGATTTTGAATTAAGACTCAAAGTCTCATCCTCCTCCTCATCGGCTTTTGACTTTAAAGTATTGAATAACATAACGGATCAACTTAATGATGATTGTCTTAATGAAATTTTTAAAAATTTAATAAAACTTCCTTATATTCATGTTATTCGTTTCTCACACGTGGTGTTTAATTTCTGTAAGACTTTTGTGGAAGAATATATTGGATTATAAAACATTACTCAATCAGAATCTATTTTTGGAGATTTGGGACTGAATGATTTGCACGCCATGCTGAAGCAACTGGCCTTAAAGAATTGATCTTATTTTGGATGTAAAAACATAGTAATCTTTTTTAAAAATATTCAATTAATTAGATAATTAGAAAATGTAAATATATTTTTTGGGAATACTGAAAATTCATATTTTTTAATTAATGGCAAATCTGTCTACAACCAGAGAATAGAATAACTGGCATCTTTTATTTTTTTCAATTATCTAATATTGGAATTATAATATTCAGGATATTTAATAATAATAAAATATGCAGGAATAGCTTCATTATTAATATGTAGAAATTAATGGATTAGTCCAAAAATTTTCTCTATATTGAAAGTAATAAGGAAAGGCTTATGATATACAAGAAATGGAATGTGCAATTAACCAAAGTAAGATCTACAAGGGGCTATAGGCTAATTATGAGATTATCATTATTAAAAATGTTCCATTGTTTACTTAATTATTTTATAAAAAAAAGTTCCATTGCTTTACTTATTTTTTTTTATATATAATTCCCAATTAAAGTCAATTTTTAAGAGTTTATAATGTCTTGTCATTTCCTAATTTTCACTCCAATAATTTATTTAATATTCTTAAAATGTTGGAATTATCCCTAAATAAGCTGAGAACCATATACCTTGTTAAAAAAAATCAGCATAGTAATGGAATTTGCTCTCTTGTATCCTAAGTAGATATATAATCTTAATTAGATCCAGATTTATTTTACAAGGGTCATTACTCTCTTATAAGAATATGAACATATCTTCAAACAATAAATGGAAAGCATTCTCACAAGAACAGTATAAATTAAATGGAGAATAATACTATAAATACCAATTATTTTTTGGACAATTGGATTCAAGATGAATTACATATCATTTTTAATTATGAAAATATAATTATATACCAAATTATAGAAGATGACAATTACTGTTTCTAGAGTATTTAAAAGTAGGAAATGTCAAAAATTAACATTTAATTAAATTAATAATATGCACTACTGTTCTTCAAAATTTCTTAGTAAATTGTGCAATATAAGATTGGATCCAAAATTTATCTTACAGATAAAGATTTCACATAAATCAATGTGACAATGCTACACACTTTAAAGGCAAGAATCCAAAAACAAGATCCATAAATAGTTCTTCAAGATCTTTCAAAAGCCTATGACAGGGTTGACATCAGTATTTTAAAGTTGGCTTTTCAAACAAATCAAAATTCCACTTCATATTACTATGTTTTTAATTAATTAACCTTTTTACTAACAGACAAAACAGTGTTATTTACCAAATGGATAATCCAAACTGCACAAGATTCTTCAAGGCATAGATTAGGGTGGAATGAAATAAAATTCAACTATGCAAATGGCATATAAAAAAGGCAATTATGGCAGATATTCACACACTGTGAAGTATTTATCAAAAGTTATTTGCAAAGTAGGAGTAAATAAAATTGTTGCAATTGTTAGTTACAATGCTGTGTTTGTACTCATCAAATATACCTGTAGTCAAAAAGAAATTAACTTTAAAAAAAAATAACATCATTGCCCCACACATATAATTAATATAACAGTTCAACTAAGTAATATTAATATTTGTAAAAGCCAATGAAAAGGAAGATTTTGAAATTGATTTGTAAGGAAATCCTATTTAATCAACTCAACATTCATGGGCTTATTCATATATAAATAGAATACAGATGGGGACACATATTATGGATGTTCTACTCTGGGAAGTCACACCTTGAGTATTTCTCCATGTATTTATTTCCTGCAGAGATGCAATCAACACAACATGTTGAATCAATTAATGCACTTATTCTAGGATTATATTATGCTGACAAAAATATTCTTCAAATATCGCACTTATAATAACTCTTCTACAAATGATAATAATATTTTTTCAACACTTCATATCAATAATAATTATACCTCTTTTAATAAAAATATCACTACAATATTATTAATGAATTTCTTCAACCACTACAATTTAAGAAAATCACAATATTAGGATTGATAGTTATTGTATTATGCCATATTGCACTCTTTTTTTTGATCTCAATAAAGTATTAAATGTACAAAAAAAAGAAAATCTCTATAGAACAAGTGTATATTTGGTGAATCATATTCTTTTACCAAAACTCATTTACATTAGTCAACTAGCTACTTTATCTGAACAAGAATGGAATGACATATCAACCTGTTATTTTCTTAGCCAAACAAAAATGTGGCCTCCCCAGATGCTTCCCAACTGCCTTTCTTCACTACATAAATATTCTAGACTTGCACAGCATTTGGTCAAGGGTTTATGCTCAACAATTAAGTCACTTTGCATATATTATTAATAACCATCAGACACTACTATTTTAATTTATTGTAGACAGGCTCAACTTTGTTTAGGCACTCATAACAATATTTTTTCTCATGACGCTCAATCCCTAATCATGGCTAAATACTTGTTTAAATCTAATCTCAGCCAATTTAACATTTGTACAGCCAGCTTAACTTTTTACCAAATAGTATGACCTGGAGACAAATGCAATTATTGTAAACAATAATAGATCTGTGGAAATAGTT